CATTCGGACAATTTATGAGCCCCGTAGAAATATAAAGTCCAAAAGAGCAAGCTGAATGTCACATGGAGGTCCATTAACAGGGCTTAGTGACACTTGATCATTTCACAGATTGGATCTATAAAGTATTTGGTCCGTCTGTAAAGAGGTATGTGCTTGACATAAGTTTGCCACACCCACTCCACAGTTTTATGGGCAACGCTCCTGCACATCGTTCAGGGCTAGAAGATGACATCCTTGAAGAACTTAAACTAATCAGTTTAATCTAATCTTAGCAGATCTAGCTCCTACCTTTCAACACCACTCCTTTCCTGCATGTCATGGACCCCCAGGTCATTTAAAATTTTAAAAAGCGCTCTTTGAGCGTTATTTTGACGTAGGTGAAGAATAAATCTCACTCTCTCACTCTCAAAGATTTTGGTGAAGATCATTTTCCCATTGCTGCCACCCTCAAAATGTTCAACAAAGCATGAGAAGGGTTCACCAAAAGGAACCTTATTTCTGCATGGAAGAAGATTTGGCCGAACAGCATTGTCTGATGCCACTCCAAGGGCTTTGAGAAAGTGAGTATGGAGACTGTAATCAATGAGATTGTGTCTTTGCCATGATTACGGGCTAGAGGTTGATAGCAATTACATCGATGAGCTAGTGGAAGAGCATAGCTAGAAGTTGATCACCGAAGAGTTTATGAAATTTTATTCTGTTTCACACTAAGAGTTTGTGTGGAAAATTTTGTCAGAGAAGGGGGAAATAACAACCTCTGAAAAGCAACAACGTTCCAGTGAAATAAGGGGCATCCTAAAAGCATGGAAAATCGGTACTTTGAGAAGCATCATCCTAATAAGGTAGTATTTATGCGCTATACAAATCTATTTAACGATATTGCTGTGTTTAATAATACTCGCCAAATTTTTAAGATTAGGCAAAACTAAATGTCTGTAAACAGCTTTTCTGTAAAAAAAGGATGTATAATAAATAATAAATTACATTATTATAAATTTACTGAATACTTGTTTTGGAATGAAGGGCATTATCCTATTTTACATTGATTGCCATGGAAAAAATCTACGAGTAAGATTGGGGGACAGTTTATGCTCTTTCCCCAGTCTTTCTCGTAATGAAAATTACAGAATTACGGTATTTAATTCTACATGTAACTTATTCAGAACGTTTATCATATGATGAGCTATTATCTGTTTCAGAAAGCGATGGGCAATTTGTTTCTTCTGTTACTGATGCAGCAACTTGAATCATACCCAAGCGTTAAAATTTCTCATAGTTCACAATAGTTGGAGACGTTACTGTTTGTGATTATTCAATTTGCTCCATTTCATCATTTATTAGAAAGCTGGCATGCTTAGCAGGTCTTTGTTTTATTTTCTATAAGGGATTTCTTTTCTGAAAGAACATTCGGTTTCTTTACTGAAAACCGTTCCTGAGAAGAGGTATGTTCAGCAAATCAGAGCATTACAAAGTCTAATTGTCCTTGCACTTAATATCCGTAACATATATGTTATAACGGACTCTAACCGTGATTTCATGGCGATAATGTTCTTTCATCAACTTAACAATTCCTTGATCACTTGTCTGTACTGACTATGACTGCAGTATTTGCTGGCAAATAAATATGTTTAAGAGCGATATTTACGTTATGCGCTGTACATTTGTTAGTAAGAAGAAGGATCTCATTCTTCAGCTCGTTACCTCATTTCAAAAGCCATTTATTTAGAATTATTGACTTCAGCCCATGCCTTTGAATTATACGTATCGTCCTCTCGTAAACCCTGTACTCCTTTAAAGCATAGAGCATATTCTTCTTCAGATTACTAATATTTTTCTTCCTTTTTTTACGTCACATATCGACGCAGCATAAAGCGGTTATACGATCTTTCGCTATTTTATATCCTTTTGAACTTTCTGTCTTAAATAAATGCATGTTGAGGCAATGCACGATAGTATTGACCTGTTTCATTAGCATTCTAATTTTTTTCAAGACAACACTTCGTAGACAATTTTTGTTATTCATTTGAGAACCATGTTCCTGCAGCAGGTAAATCAGCATCATTTTCTTCGCCATAAATGCGTTAGTAAACCATTCTTTCTTCCATTAGCTAAGTATAGAGATCTGGTGCTACAAAATCAACTTTCCCAGATTTTAAGACTAATTTTTCAGCTTTCTATTGCATCAGTGAACTGTTAACTGCCACTTCTCTCTCACGAAAAACTGTAAACTAAACCTTCTATTCTTCACCAAAACTGTGGTCTTTTCGTCTACGCATTCGTTTCACGTTTTCATTTCGATTTTGTTTTGATTTGCAATTAATGTCTTCACGATTCTGAAAAATCTTGCAGAGAGTTGAGGAATATTGAACTCAGGAGCTGCATTCCATCGACTCATTTTTGGAAGTTTAACATGTCGATTTTATCCCTTAGATTCAGATAATTGCACCGTTTGCTAGACTCCGTAATAAAAAGCACTAAATAGAATATTCAGAAAAAATGCACAGCTCAAAGGAAGCAAATGGCACAAAAAGTAAGGTCATCTTAGAGTTCCACTCATTTTAGCCCAGCTACTCTCGGTTCGGAATATGCCTTAAATCAAAACCAAGAAACTTGGCGACTTAGCTATACGTCTCTCTCATTTTCTTATTTCTGTACTTTGTTTGGACTTTATCTGGCGCTCTTAAAGTTTGTTTGGCAACTTTACTTCAGTTTAAAATATTTATTCTATAACATTTTAATAACCATCATAAGCGATTGATTTTCCATGTTTTTGTATACAAATGGGCGGCATTTTGGAAATTCAATAAAAATATTCGAGCGGTAACATTAACCATGATCATACTGTTACGAAATGCGCAGGTGTGGTAAAACAGGTGCGGTCCCCGCAGCAGGGTTAGGGTTGCAAGAAAGTGGCAAAGAAAGACATTGTTGCCTGATTTGGCGCAAAATCGCTTATTTGACGACATTTGGCGACAAAATTGGCGATATCCCATAGACGGAGCAAAAACATTCTAAAACGAATTCTTACCGGTTTTTCCGAGAATTTTCTCGAATTCAGGTCAAAAGCTATATATACCGTGCTTGTACGCGGAGAAGAGTACCTTGAGAGGATGTTGAGTTCAGTAGTAGTGTCTTAAGTTCAGAGATCAGCTCGAGAGCGATTGATTGACTGAGTCGAGAGCTGTACTATAGTACTTTGCCGTGAAGCTGTCTTCAACGTTATAGCTTGATAGCCTTAAGGCTGCGATGCTGATTGTTTTAGCGTTTTTGTTGTATTTTTCGACGACTGTAACGCATTTTTGGGACTGTTCTGTGTAATATTGACGAATAAATTGTGTCTTGATGCTTCATCAAGTGTTGTCATCAATCACTCCAAATCCACGAACCCGTAGAACTCAACAATATTAAACAGCGCCTACTGAATTTTTTGTTAACAGAGCTAGTTCGAGAATGTTTTGATACGTCCTTGTACTAAAAAGACATAATTGTTATAGCTTGCTCTTGTTTGTGTTATTAAATAGAAACAACCTGATTTAAGTTAGTATAGTTTTATGTCTCCTATCCTAAATTTTAAATTAATTTAAATTAGTATTTTTAGTCTCATATTAATTTATGGGAGTTATCATATTTTTAAATTCGTTTAAATTAAATGCATATATTTACAGTAAAAGTACGCATTTTAATACTTTGTTTCTTTTCAGAAATATTTCCCTATTTTATTATTGATATAGTAAGACAATAATTTATCTTTCCAGTTGTTTAAGGGGCTCATACACCTTAAACCCCTCATGATCTTCGAATATGGGACTGTTGCAAGAATTGAGATATTGTATTTACTTTAAAAGCAATTACTTCCAACTATTTACAGTTGACTATGTAATATAGCTGCTTTGGGAACTAGTAACCAGAAAATTTGTGTTGCCACAAATATTTTTGTAATTTAATCCGCTTTGTAACAATCGTTTTCGCCATGTTTTCACCTCGTGCGCATGATATTTTAAAAATGGCTAATGGTATATACTTGAAATTTGATGGAATTCTTTATATGGGCACTATTTTCTAACTAAACCAAAAATCTGATGAATATTTTAATATTAAAAAATTTTATGCACGAAAACATTACAAATTTTTTAAATAACATACGTTTTATAAACTCAACTCCAAATAAAATAAAATTTTAACATGAAATTCTTAGAATTTTTGGTTCACAGTAATTTCCAAATGTTATAAAAGCTATATATTAAATATGGAATTAAATTATTCAATAGAATGTTTTAAACTGTACGCGCAAGGTGGAAACATGACGAAAAATTGTGTCACAAAGCGTATTTAATTATAAAAATATTTGTGACAACACAAACTTTCTCATTACTATTTCAAAGAGCAGCTATATTATGTAGTCAGCTGTACACATTTGGAAGTAATTGCTTTTAAAATGAATACGTTATCCCAGTTCTTGCAACAGTCACATAATCGAAGATCTTGTGAGTTTTAAGGTGTATGAGTCTTCTTAAATATATTCTACAGAATACAATATACTATGTTGGCAAATACGAAAATACCAAAAATATACAGTTTGGTTCATATACGGATTGAATTTCCTTTATCACTTTTTCACCGTACTTTGCAGGAATATCATTAAAGCGAAAACATTAATACTGTATCACAGATGTTCATAAAAAAATTGTGAAATTAAAATAAATTGATACCTTTTCAAAGTAATTCTTTTTTTCTATCTCTAACCTCTCCAACTAATGTATTTTGATCTTTCTAATGAATCTTTATTGTTTCTGATTACTAGTTTTCCAAAAAACCTTTGAAAGAGCTAAGTAAGATTTATTTCTGGTCTTATCTTTCAACAGTTAAAAAACATCGGTTTTAAAAAACAGTATTTATCGATTGCAGTTATCGGGATTAACGTTTTTGAAGAGAGTTTCGATAATGTTAGAAATTATTTTAAGTACGAAAAGTTAAAGAATCTTTTCTTTTTCCTCTTGCAGAATTTTTGAAGCTGAAAGAAAGATTTCTGGACGAGGGTACTAATTGCTCGTTTGGCACAAAGTAAGTAAACAAACTTCTCATTATTCTAAATGAAAGAGTCGAGTCAAATACAGTTTATCTTTTATTGCAATGGGGGTTTTAAGTTTATAGTTCTTAGATTCATAGCTTTGGAAGTTTTTAATCAAGTTTTATTATATGATGCAAATTTATTATTTTCATTAAGTCCAAATACTAAGTATTTAGCTAAATAACTGATCGTTAACTATTATGTTAACTTCGCTGTCTGTGTTTACGATTGCTGAAACACAATTCTTACTTCAACCCATTTGATATCTAGTTGACAAAGGGTGCGCCCAAGTCGATTATTCGAAAACCTGCTCTCTTTTTAGTGCCTGCCATCAATAAAAGTATGGCATAGCTATCAATTTTAAAATTCTGATGAGGTCAGTGTTGGGAAAGTTGTTGTGATATCAATTTCTTTGGTGTCTTTATTTACATTTCAGATAGTATTTGGTAAAAAAACTGCTGTCTTCAATAATATCTAAATGGCAAGAAAATGATACGTACATTTTTATTCTTCGAGCATCGATGGCATTTTTGAGTTCTAATTCCTCCGATTTCATACATTTTGTACCAGTGTCAAGTATTCCCAACTTATTTAAATAAATTTGCTGTCTGAGAAAGCAAAATGTTCGTCTATGTTTTCATGGGATAATTGTGCATATAATTGCCTTTTGACAGATGCTTTATATTTGTAGAAACTACTCGATGTAAAACATTGAGTCTGATTCTTCATACTAGAAAAGACTTACATATTTTGTACCAGAAAATTCCTCAAATACTCCAATATATATGTGACAAAACTGCGTTATTAAACGTAATAAGATGACTTGGTGAGAGTTGTAACGGATCGGGTTGGAGAGGACTGCATAACGGTAATTACCACACATAATCTTATTCCTTGATAATCCACATTATCACTGTGGGTACGGTATGCACCTCCTAATCTTTGTACAGCTCACATCCTAAACAATTGACAAATTTAGAAAAGTAAACTTTGCGTGATTAGCGACACAGCGGGGAGCAGTAGAAGAGACGAGAGAAGAGAAGAAGAGGGAGTTGCGATGTAATTAAGCTTTTATAAGAATCCCATTTCAGATCACACGACACTTTAATGTATAGGGCTTTGGGTTCAGATTTCATCGGTAAGTGAGTATCAGAACTGCAGGGGGAAAATTATTGCTGTTAGTGTTAGAATGAAACGGAAGTTAAAGGACTATTAATTTATTACTTGAAAGATAGATTTTAATTTTTAACATATTCCCTTCCCTTCAAGAAAAAAAAGGCCTAGGTGAGGGAAAAAGGTTTTTTGAGAGAAAGAGTTAAAGCAAATGAAGAGAAATAATTTGAAAAATACAAATCCTGAAATTTTGACCAAAATAATTACTTATATAATTGCAAAATATGAATATGGCTAAGATTTCAAAGTCCTATTAAAATTTTTTCAGTCCAAAAGTCTTTGTGTTTTACAATCCACATATTTAAGATTTTTTCAGGAAAGGCTTTTCAAATCTTTGTATACAATATCCCAGTTGTAAAACTTTTGTACTCACATTACCTAGTTTGAATAATCACAACAAATTTCAAAATGTTCAAAACATAATTCTGCACCATTATTGTGACAAAACTGCGTTAATACAGGAATTTGGGTTCAGATTTCATTGGTAAGTGCGCATCAAAACTACAGGGAGAAAAATGTATTGCTGTTATTTTTAGAATGAAACGGAAGTTAAAGAGCTATTAATTTATTATTTTAATGCTAGATTTTATACCTTACATATATATAATATGCACCATACAAGAGTAATGGTACGCACCCATGATCATGCATAAAGCTCATCAGAGCAGGAAGGTTGAAAAGAGGCTAAAAGAGAATATGTTCCCCTCTAACAGTAATATAACTCACATTTCGTCTTGGAATTGAGGCAGTTTATGAGTTCCTCTGGTAGTCGGTCTCATCTCTGCAGTAAATCCTGCTTTTAGGTTCTGTGGAATGTTTTAATTTTTGGACGCAGTCAGTTTGTAAGTAATATGAAAGGCTCATTTGCATTTTGATCGTCGATTATATACAGTGCTTTAGTCACTAAACTGTCGAATGAAAGAAGAATTACAAAGTTATAGTTAATTTACGTGTCCTTGGCTACTAGAGCTTTAATGACTATTCGCTGGTCTTCTTAAACTATAAGGATAAAGTCCAATAAAAGGGTCAAAATATCCTTTTATTCGCTCAAAAAAATAGTAAAGGCAGCCCCACTCAATCAGAAAAGCCTCCATTTGGTCGTTAACTTAAGATAGAAATAAGGAACTAAACTAATTCTAACTAAATTTTAGCCGAAGCTGTACAAAAATAACTAACTGAGTTGGCTCGTAATTAAACCTCACCAGCGAATACTAACAGGCAACTTAAATTACGGACGAACGTAGTAAGATAGACTTAAAGCAATGACGTGGTCCGAAGGCTGAACACGGTCTACTGAAAACTTCTGAGCTGTTCTACGGAAGTGACTGAACTTCCCATTAACTAGTGGTTCTACTTCATTTACATACAACGCGATACTGAAAAATCATTCTGGTAGGGAGTTGTAGGTAGAAAGCAAGGCGCGGAGATGCTTGATAATGAGGCTAAAGCACGTTTATAAAAATATGAACTTTATTAAACATAACATAATGCACTTCGACGAATAAACTGAGCTGCTGCATCACTTCGCCACTCTGAGAATACAGATTTAAGTTTCTATTTTTGTATTTTTTATGCGAACTGGTAATATACAACAGTCACTTCTAATGTTCAGACTGATACTCTGCTGAGGTTCTAATAGTTTTAAAACTGAAAGTTTGTGCATTGTTTCCCATAGAAACCCAGCATTTCATCTTATTTTGTTGTTTCATTTTCATAGTAACATTTCCATAGCAACACCACAAAGTTAAAGGAAAGGCTTCCAAAATTAAAAATATCTGTTAGAAAATTAAAATAATACCTACAGTATGATTGCATTGGGTTGAGTATTCAGTATGCACACTAGTGTTTACACATGATATTACTAGATATATAGTGGCTTCCATTGAGACATCTGTTAGTAAATCATGAGATAATCTCCGTTGGCCTTGACAAACATTCATAGCATTCATCTTCTATATTCTCTTCAGTTTTAATTTGTCTTTGAACTTTACTTCCGGTATGTTACAATACTTTAGATTTTAAAACATCGCTGGGTCAAATGTACCGTCTACCTGCTGATTTCAAAATTTTAGCTTCGGCCAACTGAGTTCGACTCTCTGAATAATCCAATGTTACCATTGCTGAAATGTAAATCGAGAATAATTCGTGCATGTCAAAATTTATTCTTAAAATTTTTACTTATACCTGTCTCATTCTCGCGCCACTAGTGGCTGAGTGTTAAGATTTCTGAATACTGGTGGTTCGACCCAGGTTGAAACTCTGGCGAACAAGCTGGTTGCATGGTTGTTTCTCATGGATTTTCATTATGTGAAATATGAATACGAGCCAGTTTTCTAGGAGAGTGTTCAGCGAAGACGTTCCTTTCCTTAATCAAATAATCATTCCGTGCTTTGCCATATTTAAATAATCTAACCTAACTTCCATCGTTCTCTATTTCTCTCTTTTCCCATTTTGAACTACTGTAAAGTAAACAAAATCAATATGTTTAAAGTGTTCAGTTGTATAAAGTATGCATTAACCAAGTCTCTAATATTTATGTACTCTTTTTTGGTATTAAAATGTATCCAAAGATAAGCTTAGCGGCCTTTTTTTTTAAACTTTCTACTGGGGACTTCATTATCAATTCTGATAAAACTAGCGTTTGGGTTAGAACAACTAGGAATCTTTCAATAACTATACCCCGGTATACGTTTCATATCAATTATTTTGAAAGTATTGTTTCCTTTACAAAGACAAACATTTCAAATTCTGACAGATAAACTTAAAACTCCACCTTATCGTCAACAAAAATTGTACTGATTTTGTTAATTTGCGAATATTTTCTCCAGAAAGGACAATTTACAGAATTACAATGCGATAAAACTTCCGAAGGAAATCATTTTAAGGAAATTTGAATAGTTTCAATGGAAAAGAAGAGTTTACGAATTCAGTGAGAATGACGAAATTGTTTATTTAATTTTTTAAGGTTCAAACTTTATATATCTGAAAATCCCATTTTTACTACACAATATAAAGACCAAGCAAAGGAATTGATTGCTGTAATAATATTATCAAAACTTCAATGCTCATGACAAGACAAATATACGTTTCGAAATTAGCAAATTAACGTTTTTTCAGTATTTCTGCTTTGTATATTTGTTTTCATTCATGTTTTAACGGTTAAAAATCAATTAAGTAATGTATAAATAAAATAAAGTTTGAAAAGACAAAATAGTACATAATTCAGTGTTTAACACATCATTTGTTAAATAAACAAAAAAAATTTTTATCTATAAAATGACATTAATTGATAACACGAAGACATATAAAATTTGCTTGGCAGTGATTTAACATTAATGGAATTGCGATATTTGCCTTCAACTTCATTTTCGCCTGTCAGTGTTTTTATCGAACCTTTTTTGCATGTCAAAACGTATTGCAAAGTTTTTGTCATTTAAAAATATTTGGAGGAATTCCTTCAACATAATATGCACAATCGCAGCGAAATGACAGTTAAGCAAAAGAATGAACCAAGTTGGAGAAGATTTGATTACTGTACAGTTTTAGTTATTTATTTAATGCTATACTGACAAACCAGATGGTATTTAACGAAAAAATTCTTATATTCTTATGTTTAAAAAATTCTTATTTTTATATATTCTTATAATTACAGAAAACTTCATATACATACGTCGCAATACTTAACAAATAAGTGCATTATGAGTTTATTAATGCATGCATGTAAAAGGCTTATAATGCTTATTAATTGTATGCATCTAAATGCATATAAAATTAGGATAGATATTTAGATGTATGAGACCTGTATATACGTCAGTGTATG